TGAAAGAATGCATAAATTTTGCTAGGAGGGATTGAGGTGGAAATGGTGATTGATTTTGTAGGAAGGTGGTCAGAATCAATGTTAGTGATGACAAAACTTTTGGTACAATGCATGTCGAAAGCGGAGGAGGAATATCAAGATATAGAGTATAGCTCCGACTGTGATGTTTTTTCATGTCCACACAAGGTAACGACTCTACCATTGAATTTAGATGGTGGAGTGAAAAACTAGAAAAGAGTTTGAAGGTGAAGGTGGTGGTGATCTCACACAGCTGCCTCAAAAAGTTTGTAGAAGGCCATGATACTTGGTTGAGAGGGAAGTGTTAGTAGCTGATATATAAGGACTTGGGTTGTTCGCAAGTGGAAATGCATGTGTAAAGAGGATTTTATATGACAGGATAGGGACAAAAGTAAGTGACCAATGTCCTTTTCCCCAAATGAGTTACTCATTTTCCCTTTATTTTTTCCTATGGTACTTCAAAGGTTCCGACAACTATAGTTAGGGTGGTGGATAGTATTGTGTTGGTAATGGTGGTTCTTGGTGGTGGTAGTGATGGCGGAAGCTCTTTATGATTTAACATTAATATAAATATTTATATAAGTTTTATATTAACCAAAAAGAAAAATATAAAAGAAAATTAAAAGCGTATAAAAGTTTTTTTTATATGGGTGGGGGACCAACCATGATGACAAATAAAACCATGGGGACATTCCATGAGACTGATTAAGTTAGGGACTAAACTTGATATTCATGGAAACCACAGTGACCACTTATGAAGATTATCCTAAAGTAAATAATAGAAAATATATATTGATGATGTGGAGTAGTGTGTATTTTTTACAATATGTGATGTGGTAGATGTGATGTAGTGACAATCAGGTGACGCTGAAAGGACATAATTTAGAGTAAAGATCTTATGGACAATACCAATAGCCTTAATAAAGAGTAAATTTACGTTGATTGTTGAAAACCTTAAATAACAAAGATAATAAATGAAAATATGAACCCTAAAATATTTCAAAAAAAAATATGAATCTTGAAATGCTACAAAAAAATGAATATAAAAACCATGATTTCAATAAATATAAATTATAACTGAATTCGATATTATAACAAATTCCTAACTTTATTATCAGTTAAAAAATAGTATATTAGACTGGTTATTCTAAACCTTGTATCATGACTACAACTATGGTTATTAAGTATCTCTTTATATCTGGTGGGGCATGTTTCTATCTTTAATGCAGGGCGTGTCTCTTATAGATAAGGATGATAAGTTGGGTTGGTTGTTTGATGTCTCAGTTTTGTTTCAGTGTCTTCTTCTCTTGCGTTATTGAATAGTGTTATAATGGGTACACATAGGATGGAAACTAGGTGGAATAATTAGGTTCCTATCAAATTAAATATCTTCATTGAAACTAGGTAGAATAACTGACTTGGTAAGTTCCTTGAGGCCATGTCTAACTCAAAATTAATTGGTCGGTTTCAATATAATTTTGTACACTTCGTTAGTTCCAAGAATGCCAGCATAACCTAACATTGCCTAAACTTGGCCTAAATTGATATCCTAACATGACCTCCTAAATTTCTTACTTCCTAGTTCTATATTAGGTTTCCTATTACACACAAAGTTTACATTTTATTTTCGATTTTAAGTTAATGCCCTTCAACCCTACCTGACAACTTACCCATTAATCCCATAGTGAATCATAACCAACTTATCCCCTTACATTCGCCACATTTAGGATCAAGCTAGCCTTATACATGTCTATATTATGCACAATATGAACTTGTAGAAGATCATAGTATAAAATTTCATTTTAATCACATATAAATTCCAGTTACTCAAAATGGGTGAATGCCACTAAAATGTATAACATTGGTTCATTAAGATTGTTCATTTCTTCCCAAAGTGATGGTATTGCATTCTAAATTAATCAAAACTGGATTACACTTTCTTTTAGTGGTTGTGAACCTTAATAATTAACATGTATGGTAAATGATAAAAAAACTATCAACACACACAAAATATTTGATGAAATGCCAATGAAGAAACATCATTACATGGAATGCCACGATATGTAGATATATTAGGAATAAAGCAACACAACCAGTCCAAACCTATTTAATAAGAGGTTTGATCCGAAATCGTTTTTTTATTGAAATCAATGCTTAATTGGTAGGATAAAATATATGGTATGATCATGGCTGCAAGTTTATTTGTTTAGGTTCATTTCATATTGAAATTTTTTATTACTTGTACTGTAACACCCTATGTAGTATGTATTGCATTTGTTTGGTTTTCTCAAGTTTGTTTTGGAACATCATTTATGAATTTGTCAAGTCAGCACAAAAGTCATGTTGAATATTCAACATAAATGTTAGCAACCATTTTCACTTGAACCTAAATAATTTTGATCGCTCCCATTCCCGTTCACAATCAGAATGTGTGTGACTATCTTCAAGATGTACCAAATTAAGGATGAAATATGTGGGTTATTACACGGATGGTTATGGTTGATGGATACGCAAGTAAAAAGGTAGATGAAAGTTGTTAGATATTTGTAAGGGTGTGTCATGACGTAATTTCTTCATGGGGTCATCAATTAGTTAAGGTCATTTCAAGGACCCTAAGGTGGAGGATGTAGATTCCATTTTCAATTAGCCCACATAATCAACCACCTAAGAAAAACAATGTTACCTTATTTTGTGGAGCTAGAACCGGTAGATATGACATTGATATTTCTCTTTTTTTTTTTTTTGTGGGTGATGTCATTTACATGGAAATATTATGAGACTTTTTTGATGTGTTTTCTTTGTCTTTAGGTTAGTAATTTATTAGGTATTCCACATTAAATCTCCCATTAACATATATTGGTCTTCCCGTCAGTTTAATCATGCTAAAAACTGCAAGTTGTAAAGTTATTGATAAGTTTAAATCTAGAGGCACGAATTGGATGGTAAAATTACTTTCAAGTGGTGGTTGTCTCACGGTTATTAAATCCATTCTCAATAGTATAGATACATGCGTTATGAATCTTTTTCATGCTCCAAAAAGGATCATTGATCAACTAGATTTGACGCAGAGCAATTTCTTCATGGATTCCTAGTTCGTAAGAACCTAAACTAACTTGGATCTAATGAAAAATAAGTTATGGCAAACAAAAAGCATGGTGGTTAGTCTATATGCGTTTAATAAAGCGCTTTTACTCAAATGGAATTGGAGATTTTAAACAACTCTAATGTTCTTTGGGCACGAGTTATTAAAAGCATTTATGGTATGAACGGTAATTAGAATTCCAACAACCTCGTCTATCACTCAGGAGGGCTGAGAGTTGATATTTTGTGAGCCACAAAGTAATTTTAAGACAAATGTATTGATCTACTCACTTTTTATTTGTGTAAAGTGGGTAATGGAAGAATAACTCATTTTGTGAGAAGACATTTTGTTGTGGGATACACCTCTAAAAAACTGGTCTATAAGAGTTTTTAGGCTGGATAATTTGGATAATGCTTTTCTTGCTAATCGAGTTCCAATGGTTGAGTGGACCTCAATTGCGTTGACCGGGGGGGGGGGGGGGGGGGGGAGGGGGGGGGGATTGATCAATGCAATGATATGTTGATTTTTTTACAAACAATGGTTTTATCTCCCTCGGGACGATAGGTCAAAGTGGGAGTTGGAAGCTAGTGTTGAGTATATAGTTTCTTCTGCGAGACAAGTAACTAATAAAAATATGCTTATACTTGATGATTCCCTAACAATATTGAATAAACTTATTCGCATGAAGGTTAAGATTTTAGCTTGGCGAATAAAGCCATATAAACTTCTAGTCAGGGGTACCCTTGACCTACGTAATATTGACTTGGATACGATGTACTACTTGCGACTATGACATCAATATATTAAATCATATGTTCTTTACATGCCCTTGAAGTTGAGATTCAGAATCATTTGGCGAACTACAGGGTTTTGGTGGGTTGTACTTTGTCAATTATACAAAATATTTGGAGTGGTTGAATTTGTTAAATATAAACTCTTTGCAAAAAAAATGTCTTGAATTTGTGCCAATGACCACCTTTTTAGCTGATTTCGATTTGACAAGACTACCATCTTTCGAACAAAGAAACCAAAAAGGTGACTTCCTATGATTTTATTGTTTTATAATAGGATTATAGGAATATGAAACTATAAGTCATTTGGGTGGGCTGACTTAAAAGTAGGGATGAGCATCGGAACCGGATATCTGCTTTTGGAACCGGAACCGCCTCGGAACTGCCGGTTTTGGAACGGAAACCGCCTTAGGCGGTTCCGGTTCCGGTTCCTAAAGTTATGGAACCGCCTTAAGCGGTTCCGGTTCCGGTTCTCGTTTTTTCGGAACCGCTACCCGCTGGGTATCCGCCGGAACCGGTTTATATATATATATATATATATATATATATATATATATATATATATATATATATATATATATATATATATATATATATATATATATAAACGTGTGTTACTTAGACCGGTTTAGAATATATTGGTACGATTTTATCCGTCTTTGGTCCGAATTGATTTGATTCAGATCGAACTAAATTGTGGTTTTGTCAAAAAAAGTTAACAAAATTAATGCGACCGGGTTACCCGCTCCCGGAACCGGAACCGCCGGTTTCGGGACTGGTTCCAAACATTTAAGAACTGCCTAGAGCGGTTCCGGTTCCGGTTCTAACTTTCTAGGAACCGCCGGTTCCAGTTCCGGTTTTCGCCAAATGAGGCGGGTACCCGCCTACGCTCATCCCTACTTAAAAGGGTAATAATGTTTCAAAAATGTACAAAAAAACACCATTATTCTTTTTTTAGTGAAAAAAGTACCATTAAACCGGGTATTATAGGTTAGCCGGTTAAAAGATTTATTAGAATAATTGTGCCCTTACCCTTCGTTATTTCCCCCAAAATCAAGGGTTCCTTTTTTCCTTCTACTTCGTTCGTTCATCCTTTCCACAGAATCACAATGGATTCGAAGTTCACAATCGAAGTAAATCATACAGGTTCTTTTGTCCCCAAACCGATTGTGTATTTCAATCCAGTAAAAATGGTTGTTAGCAATGTCGATTTCAGAAGCATGAGTTTCGTGGAGTTCATCTCGTATGTGAAGAACTTGGTCAAGGATGGAACAATCAATGTGTACTATTGTCTTCCACAACGTTCACTGAGAGATGGGTTAAGAGTCTTGGAAGATGAAAATGATTATGTTCGTTTCCTTGATGTTGGGTATGAGAATGGGGGTATGATCAATTTGTACATTGATCACAGTCAATATCCAGTTATGGAGTGGATTGAAGAAGAGATAGCTGAAGATGGATCAGTAGATGGTAATACGGATGATGATGATGATGTAGACTCTGAGATTTCAGATGATGAGTTCGTGGAGCATGACCCTGATGATGAAGTGATACAACTACAGCCATCTGATGATCCTTTCATTAGAAGAAAACTTTTCAAGCCTCCAAGAATTGTGGATGGTGAGAAAGATGATAAGAAAGATGCCAAGAAAAATCTTCATAAGTATCCAGTTCATGATCCTAACCAAAAATGGGATACAATGTCTCCAATCTTAGGTATGAAATTCTGTGATCGTTATGAACTTAAGCATTTGTTAAGTAATTATGTTGTTGCTAATGGGTATAAACTGTGGTATGAAAAAATGATTCAACAAGATTATTAGTTAAATGTTGCAAAGGTGAAGAGAAGTCTAAATGCCCTTTTAGGTTGTGGGCAACTTGGATGAGTAAAGAAAGATCATTTCAGATTAAGTCCTTAATCTCTGAACATAATTGTAGTAGGGCCTTAAATTTAGGTTCAATGGTCACATATAGTTGGATTGGAAAACAGTTAATAGAAACCATAATAGATAATCCAAGAATTAGTTACAGGAAAATGGCAGCAATAGTCCTTAGAGATTTTAATCTAAAAGTTAGTTTTGGACGGTGTAGAAATGCCAAAAAATTTGCAATGGATGAGATAGAAGGGAGCTTGGTGGCACACTATGAAAAGCTTAGAAGTTATGGTTTGGAGTTATTGAGGACTAATCCAGGTTCCACAGTGAAATTGGATGTGGATATCATGCCTGATTCTACAATCCATTTTTCTAAGATGTATATTTGCTTGAAGGTTGTGAAGGATGGTTGGATTGAGGGGTGTAGAAGAGTGATTGGTGTAGATGGATGTTTTTTAAAGGGACTTTGTAGAGGTGAGGTAGTTTCAGCTGTTGGTAGGGATGCTAATAACCAAATGTATCCTCTAGCCTGGGCTGTTGTACCAGTTGAAAATAAGGCAAATTGGAAATGGTTTTTGGATCTATTACTTGAAGACATTGATATGGGACAAGGTAGAGGACTAACCATCATATCTGACCAACACAAGGTACTCAACTGTTTTTTCATAATAGTATTTCTATTTTATTTTTAACTTATAATGACATCAAAATGTTACTTAATAGGGACTGATTGAAGCAGTTAAGGAAAGAGTGCCAGAATGTGAGCATAGACAATGTGTCAGGCATGTTTATGCCAACTTCAAGAAAAATTCTCAGGAGCTGAATACAGGAAACTTTTCTGGTTTGCTGCCAAGGCCACAACAACCACAAAATTTGAAGACATCATGAAGGAGATCAAACTGATTGACAATACTGCCTATGAACACCTGATGGAAAAAAACCCAAACACATGGTCCAGGGCAGTTTTTAGGGAAGATAGTGGTAGTGATGCCATTGAAAATGGTGTATCAGAGTCATTTAATGCAGCTATTGTGGAAGCTAGAAAAAAACCAATAATAGCAATGTTGGAAGACATTAGAGTGTATGTCATGGAAAGGATGTTTACTCAGAAAAGGAAGGGACTGAAGTGGAACTTGGACATTTGTCCCTCAATAAGAAGGAAGATTGAGGACATGAAGAAAATACAAAGGTATTTATACATTATATATACATATATGTTACATTTCATAACAGGTGTATGCAGTTGACTTACATAACTTATATGTTCCATTTCATAACAGGTTTTGGGGAGTAATTCCAAGTGGTTTTCATCAATATGAGAGTAGATGGTTGAATGAGGTGTATGCAGTTGACTTACATAAAAGAACATGTGGATGTAGATCATGGCAGCTGACAGGTATACCATGTGTACATGTTATTTCTGCAATCTTGTGCTTGAATGGGAATATAAAGGAGTATGTAGCAAATTGGTACACAACACAAATGTTTGGAAGCTGCTACAAGTATAATGTTAAGCCAATTAATGGACATGAAATGTGGCCAGCAAATGATATGAATACCATCTTACCACCAAAGCGTAGAAGATTGCCTGGCAGACCAAAGACAAACAGGAAGAAATGCATTTCAGAAAGAAGTGACAGACACACTGTCAGCAAAGTTGGGACCACTTCTAAATGCAGTTTATGTTCCCAACCAGGTCATAACAAGAGGAAATGTCCTCTGAAACAGCTTAATGCAGTAGATGATTCAGATCTCTTTGATTACCATGAGCTATTTGAGGGTGAGGGGCAGGGTCAAGGGCAAGGACAGGGAGAAGGACAGGGACAAGGCCATGGGGAAGCTGAGGATGAGGTTGGAGGTGATTCAAGGAAAGAAGTTGAAGGAGATTCAGAGGATGATTTAGAGATGCAGGTTGAACAACTAGTTGATGAAGAAGTGGTGAATCATCATGTGGTTGCTCCAACTTTGAAAAGGAGAAAGTGTGGTCCTTCTCAGAGGAACATAAAACTTTGGTTGAGGAGGAAGGTGGTGACCAAGGATGATACAGGGGGAAGTCTTGAAAATCCTGTAACACTCTAGGAGCAGTAATGGGGATAACTTTTGTTAGCTTTTTTTAGGGAATCTTTTGGTAAGTGCAGGACAACTTTTGGTAGGGAATCTTTTGTTAGGCACAACTTTTGATGTCTTGTTTACATTTAAGTTAAAAACTATTGAAGCTACATGTGATTAGGTGTAATGTGTATTTTGATAATGTATGTGGTTTGGTAATGTGTATATTTAATGTATGTGGTAATGTGTATATTTAATGTATGTGGTCCCACTTAGATAATGCATGTGGTTTGGTAATGTGTGTGTTTATATTTATGGACAAGGACAGAGACAAGGCCAATCCAATATGTGGTCCAACTTTATCCCATTATATAAACCAGGAATCATTAATTCCATTTCAATATATAAACCAAGAATAGTTAATTCCATTCCAATATGTGGCCATTCCAATATATAAACCAAGAATCATTAATTCCTGGACAAGGCCATTCCAATGTGTGGTTTGGTAATCAATATTTCCATTCCATTCCAGGAATCAATGATTCCATTCTTGGAATCACAATGACAATTAACCAAAAATCATTAATTTCATTTCTATATACACAAAGATAATTAATCAGGAACCATTAATTCCAATCCTGTGTGAAGAATCAATATTAAGCAGTAATCAATATTTCCATTCCATTCCAGGAATCAATGATTCCATTCTTGGAATCACAATGACAATTAACCAAAAATCATTAATTTCATTTCTATATACACAAAGATAATTAATCAGGAACCATTAATTCCAATCCTGTGTGAAAAATCAATATTAAGCAGTTATCAATATTTCCATTCCATTCCAGGAATCAATGATTCCATTCTTGGAATCACAATGACAATTAACCAAAAATCATTAATTTCATTTCTATATACACAAAGATAATTAATCAGGAACCATTAATTCCAATCTTGTGTGAAGAATCAATATTAAGCAATAACCAATAAATCCATTCCATTTCAGGAATCACTAATTCCATTCCAGTATTAAGCAGTAACCAATAAATCAATTCCAACACAAGACTTTTAGTTAACCAAACTTTCTAAATACATTACCAAAGTCATTACATTACAATTTCCATTTCATTTCAACATAACATACATACAAAACATAACAAAGAACAACAACATACAACATTTGAGATTCCAATATTTCCTAGTTAATTTATCCAAGTCTTTTCTGAAACTCATTGATTCTTTATCCGCCTTCACCTTATGTGTCCAAAAATTATTTTCCAATATTGATATCTCGACTTCAGTGTTGTCTTCTTTTATTAGTTCGTCATTTTGATCGACCCATTCCCAGAAATCACATTTCTTCTTCTTCTTATCCTTCAATATACATAATAAAATTCACATAACAAATTAAGTATGAAGAAGAAGTAGATGATAGATGCTAGAACCACTTACTAGTGAGTTACGACATACTCTGAACTTTCTACCCGGATTATTAGTCGTAGTTGAGGTCCAAACTTGGGAAGGCTTCTCACAGTAACAAGGGTGGGCATAATCGATTGTGCTCCTGCTCTTGGAAATGTTCGAATTTGACTTAGAATAATTCAATGAACTTGAAGATGCCATAGGAGCCAAAGGAGATGAAGAAGGGGGATGAAGATGGAACCCTAATTTGATGGATGAAGGTCATTAAAGCACGCACGTTCAGTAGTTCACCTGAGGTAACCGGTTACCTCAGGTCATCTAAAAGGTTATTTGTACTTTGTTGGTATTTTTTGTACAAAAATTCCGGTTTAATGGTATTTTTTTCACTAAAAAAAGAATAATTGTGTTTTTTGTACGTTTTTGAAACATTATTACCCTTTTAAGTCATTTTCCCGACTTAAAAACCCCTAGGAATACCAAAACTATAAGTCATTTGGGTGGGTTGGCTTAAAAACCCCGTCTAGCGACATAAAACTTATGTAATTCTTTTTTATCTAGCTTTTTGTTAGGAATTCTAATTAAAAAAAAAAAAAAAAAAAAAAAAAAAAAAATCCTCAACAGTAAAAAAAAATTAATTTTGATTTTTGAACAACCAACGAAAATATAATTCTTTTTGCAAAAGGATTTTTTTGAACAGTAATTGTAATCTATTTTAAGCTAATACCTAATGTGATAAATTACATTAAATTGATTGTACTTTTATGTTGAAAATAGTTTGCTCCCTTGTGGTAAGTTATGTTTGCAAAGTCATAAACTCAAATTCAAATCCAATACTCATATTCAATGATTGTATTTAAGAACCGAATCACATTACTTTTGTTGCACTTTATTAGGTTCAATTATCAATTGAAAGGAACATCCATTTAATCTCATTTGTTAATCTCTATATGTGACACGATAAGGTAGTTATGTGAATGCAAGTGTGACCCAAAAGTTGCTCAACCTTGTAGATGGATTATGATTCTTACCGAACATTGTCATTTTATTAGAGAAAATGCAATTTGGATGTCTCCTTAAGGGTTTATTCGTTTTTGATGGACCAAGGTTAAAAAACGTGTGTTGTCTATAATCTTATTTTTGTTATTAATATAAATTTTATAGGTTCCACTTAACTTTTTAATTTATTTAGACTATAATAAAATTTAATTAATTGTTCTAATAAATAAAAATCTTTTTGTTATATGTCATATTTTCATTCATTTTATCATATATCATTTTGTTGTTATTTTAAATTTATTTTTGTTCAACGTATCATTTTATGGTTTTTCTATTTTATTAAATTTAATATAATATTTAAATGTAATAATAAATACATATTAATTTCATTAATAGATTTTCCTTTTAATTTTAAAATTACTAAATTAAAGTCTCATTAGCTTTCTTTTTATATATTTATCTAAATATTTGTTTAAATTTAAAAGATAAAAACACTTTAATTTTAATAATTCAATATTTTTTTCATTTTTTATAAATTCAAACTTCTCAATGTTTAAATTTAATATTTAATTTTTTTTATAAATAAACTCATGTAATGCATGAATCTCATACATAGTATGTTATCATATGAATAACAAAGAAATTCTCATAAAACAAATATAATTAAGTCACACAATTGTCAATGTAGGACTAGTTCATTTGGTAGAGACTTTGTATTTTAGATTGTAGGTCTCGACATCTAATCAATGCATTGACGATTTCATGATACTAATTTTTAACCACTAATCCAACCGTTAAAAAAAAAAATCAAAGTCACACATTTATATCTATTACAAAGTCTAAAATTAATCAAAACATCACATACAATAGAAGTAAAAATCCACATATAAACTTGAAATTAATCAAAACATCAAATACAATAGAATAACAAACAAAAACTAGTAAACATCCACATTTATTAAATTACATAATCAGATACAATAAAATGGCATATGTCACGTACTTCTTGCCTATAATCTATATTTTTATCCATAATATATTAGCACCCAAGTTTTTTTTTTTTTTTTTTTTTTTTTTTTTTTTTTTTTGCACTTCATTAAATGAAAACTTGGGTTGAATATCACATTTGAGTACACAAAAGTAATAACTTATTTGTTTACGAACATTGTTGTAGGAGTTTGGTCCTTGAAGGAGAGTGCATAGCCACTATGTTTTTGAATAAGTTGAGGCGGTTGTTTGTATCAAGTTGCAGTTTATGTAAAATCTTGTCCAAAATGTACATTTTGGAATTCGTAATGTATTATGCTACTTTGAAATATTTGAAAAATAAATATTCACATATTACATACAGGAAAGTCGGTTCAACACAGCAGTGCGGGCACAGAAATCGAATTTTAGATTGGTCAAGTTTTAGCTAAAATTATCTAAATGGTAATTGAAGATATCATTAATATGATTCCAACGATAAAAAGACAGTCGATAACGGATTCTGTATCTAGAAGTTATGAATTTTACAAGGTTATTAACAGTGTAATCATCTCAGACTATTAAAATTTAAGATCGGCCGAGAATTAGCTGATGGACTCAAATGGAAAGTTATAGTACTCGAAAATACCTACATGTGGATATAAAGACTGTAAAAAACATAGCACATATGCGAAAGTAATGAATTTTTGAAGATGTGCGGTTTTACCAGCGTCCGGTGCCACATGTCAGCACCAAAGGCGAAGCCTTGGTGCCTACGCAAGGTCACTACTTGAGAGGCTTGTCTCATGATGTGAGATCAGTCTGAGTAGCCTATCAATAAGCTGAATTTCACTCATTTCTTCACACATCTTCATTCCAATCTCTCCTACCCCCCCCCCCCAATGGTCCCTAGGCCATGTTCTCGCAATTCCTAAGTGTTAGTAATGAAACTCTGGAGTGTCAGAAAGCCTTGAGGAATAGAGCTTTAAGCTTCGAAATTTTTCCGTGCAAAGTCTGTTTTTTTCACTAAACCACATGTAAACAAGACTTATCAATGATTCCAAGTCGTTATACTAATTGATATACTTACAGGGATGATGACAAGGCTAGATTTAGTGAAGTGTTTAATATGGGCTTTCCGAACAGTACACGTCGTATACAAAACGGACCCTACCTCCAATATGATCTTAGTTGGTTGTCCCTTATCAGCTATAGATGAGTCAAATTTGAATTAATGATGAATCTAGACTTATAATTAGTTGCAAGAAATATTAGACTAATACTTAGTGATAATGATATGAGGTTACATCAAAAGAAAAGGCAGTTGCTAGAAGCGAAGCACTGTCCAAGTTTCGAGTCATCACTTTATCAAGTGAGTGCATAGTTACTTTAATCTTACACATAGATATGAAGTATCTAATTAATTGTTATACGTGTTTATGTGAAAAGATGTTATGTGTTAGATGAAATGTTATAAATATAACCTATATGATTTACCGTATATGTATTTTTATAGATATAATACATTGGGTAACGAAGGATAGTAAAATATGACAATGTATAATGAAAGATATGGTGTCATAGTATGTAGGCAAAGATAGGATGCCACGACTTTAGGAATGGTACTGGTGTACTAATGATATAGT